CAGTATTTCAAGTGTGAAGAGTTATGACTTCTTGTGTTGAAAATGAATGTATTAGATCCAGAAAATCCCATATTTTCCCTAATGGTTGAGATATGATTTGTTGTGTCTTCCAAGAAAAACCCTTATTTTCTTATAAAAGTATGAAATGCATATGAATGTTCGTGTCATAAGTTGTAAATAATTGCACCAGGAAAATCCCTTATCTTCCTATTAGTTGTTTGGTTTGTATACAGGAAAAACCCTTATTTTCCTAACATGACTGGCAGTCTCTAAGACCGAAAATCGCAAGAAAACGACGTTCTTAAAAGTTCTGTCATAGTTTTATATAATAAAGCTATACGAAGATCGCATTTGTTAGATGAAGAATAGTTTTAACAGTTACTCGTTCATAAAAGCATAATACCATAATAATTGTATATCCGATGAGTTTTATAACCATACTAAACATAATATGCCTGTAACGACGTTCTTCAGGCGTCGCAGCGTTATGACAACTGTCACCCCAAAGGACGGACTGTAGCTAACAGTCAGGGCGCGGGATCATGACTTCCCGTATAGATCTATACACATTTGACACGTTCTCCGAACGGGAGACTCTGGTTATAGACAGGACTTGCAGCATTACTTTCTAATAAAGAAAAGTAACGTTTGAAGATATACACATCTCATGGATTCTCAACTAAGCCTGTATTAAAGTGATAGTTTTTGTATGCGAAGTTTATCCTTTTTCACAATGTTTGACAAAGCATAAATCACAAGTTTTTAGAATGTATAAAACAACTTAACAATGAAAGGTACTTTGAAATCATTATATACTTTGCATAAGTCTAATGCACACAAAGTATGACAAGAGTTTTCCATAATAGTAATGAGTTCCAAGTGATTTATTCGGTAAAACAAACGAAGTGAAACTTTATAAAATACACGATAATAACCGTATGTTTACTTGTATTCCCCCCTAAAAGAGTATAAAAGCATTTAAAATGTATTTAAAGTGTGTTTGAAAGGGGTATGAACTCACTTGAAAGTTTGAAGATAGCAAGATGGAAAACTGGGCCGAGTTTCGTCTCGGGAAACGGATTTTCCTCGGGATTCTCGGGATTTCTCGGGAGTAAAATCGACCTTCGGGACTTTCACAAAATGACCAGGGCTTCGGGGTAGTGCGAGCACGGAAAACGAGGCAAAACGCAAGAAAAGAGAGAGAGAATGAGCAATTTTTCCGGGAACCCTCGCATCCCTTTTATAGGGGGCTGGAACCGCCTCGTACGCGGGGCGTACGCGTACGTCACGCGTGACCGAGTCCTCGACTGCATCGCGCTTCGGACGGGACGGGGGGGGGGGGGTAGGCTCGCATAAGGGCGACGTGGACGATCCGAGGCCGTGGCCTCGAGTACGCTGGGCGTACTCGTGTACGCTGCGCGTACGCGCGTGACTCAGGCTTCGGATAATACCGAATTTTTGAATAAAAATATATATTAATTATTTATCAAACTTCAAAAATTCATATCTCCTTCATACGAACTCCGTTTTCGACGTTCTTTATATCCACGCGTAGGTGAGACTAAGATCTACAACTTTCATTTAGATTCCGTCGGCAAATTTCGAAATTATTTTTATTATTTATCTATTAAAATGACGTGATTAAGGAATTTCTTTAAAAATTCATAACTTTTTCATAAGATGTCCGATTTGAGCGTTCTTTTTATGCATGTTTGTAGTTTAACGATATCTATGACTTTCATTTAGACACCTAAGGTCAGAAAGTGTTTTATTGAAACTTTGCGTTTTTACGTAACTTCGTATTGCCGGTTTTTGTCGGAAAACTTAGAATGGTCATAACTTCTTCGTTATAACTCGGATTTTTGTGTTATTTATATGTTTGGAAACCTTAAGACGATACCTACCACATAGCGTACTCCAAATAGAGTTTTTGAATACTTCATTTTCGATGATATTCTAATTCCTTTCTCAAAGAGGTTACGGGACTCGATTTTTACTGACTTGAAATGACGGGCTGTTACATATTTCATCAACACGACGAGTTCACTTGCTATTCAGTAGACGGGGAAACCTAATCTAACTCGTCGAGTTGCCAGGGTAACTCGTCGGGTCCCCCTCCCTGTTTGCTTATTATGATGATTCACCGAATGCAGGGACTCCACGGCTTATATATGTAACCCTAAGGCTTCCAGAGGGATAAAGTTTCCAACTTTACCCTCTATAACCACTCTGAATACTCTTAGGTCCTTATCCAAGGTTGGAAAGCTCAAAAGTCTTGCCATGCATTCCCAAAACTTTAGTGATTTGGAATCCCTCCTTTCTAGAGGAGGTTCTAGTCGTTCCAAAGATGGAGGCTTTATGGACATGCATGTCCAATGCATGTATTTAAATCAAAATGGTCAAAAAGGGGAAATATTCCCTAAAAACCCTTGCATGGCATCCTTGCTTGGTTAAAAGCTAGATCTAGCCCACCTTGGGACTATTTTCCCCTGGAGATCAATAAAGTTGCAAACTTTATGAACCACATGCATGCCATCAATAAGAATGATAGGAAATGAAGAGTAAACTCAAGGTCTAGCCATATTCTAAGATAAAAATTGAATCTTGAAGGCTTACCACAGTCTACAAGATAGTCAAGATCAAGAGTAAGGGCTTGGTTTGCTGGATCTTCTTCTTCTTCTCCCTATCTCCTTCTTTTCAAGCTCCACAAGTCACTTTAGCTCACAAAATGAAAGAAAATGGGGATTAGGGTTTAGCACAGACGTTCTTAGGGTTTGGAGGTTGATGGAAGGTCAACCTCAAGGTTCTTAAAGAGATTATATAGGGTGCAACCCCTAAAATTAGGGTTTTTCCTTTACAGAACCTACTCGTCAAGTTAGCCTTCCAACTCATCGAGTAGGGCCTAGATCCCGCGTCCTCGAAATGTTCTCTACTCGACAAGTCGAGGCTCCCAACTTGTCGATTCGCAGCATCAAAACCCTAAAACTTAGAAAATTAAATAATACCTTGGACAGGTGTTACACATTCAATATGAATACATTCACCATTTACTATCCAAAAATTAAAAAAACTCTTCATTTGTAGTGATTAATTATTTTAAAGTATCATAACTACACACACATACACACACACACACACACATATATATATATATATATATATATATATATATATATATATAAACCTCTTGAGTTGTAATGAGTAATTAATTATTGGTTAGAAAAACTTTTAAGTTAAAATGAGAGTTTCAAATTAATATGGTGTAAAAAAATGGAATATATATATATATATATATATATATATATATATATATATATATATATATCAAAACTCAAATTTATTAAAAATAAATTTTCGATAAAGTTATTTATAAATATTAATGTGTTTCTACATGTCATTTATGATTTTTAAAACTATTTTCAAATCACAATAGTTTTCATTATAAAAAAAACAAAAACAAAACAAAACATAAAATAGCTTTTTATACATGTGATGCAAAAAAAGATTTTTAAAATGGTTATTTTAATACCTAAAGAAATAATAATATCTGTCAATAAAATGGCTAACTAAATATTTAAAATAACATTTAATATTCATGTTAATATCTTAATATTTCACAACTTATTTATGTTATGTTAGAAAATGCAAGGAGTCATAATTAAACGTTTTAATAAAAAATATATGTATAAATATGAAATAGCAAGTAATAAATTTTCAACAATCCACAAATGTTAAAAGTATATTAAATGAATTAAACGGAATTTAATGTTATATTATTCATATGATTAATTATTTTAGCATGCATAGCAACGAAGTTAACTATTAGCTAACACATTTTTTTTTTTTTTTTTTTTTTTTTTTTTTTTTTTTTTTTTAAATTTTTCTTTGAAAAGTTTATGTATTTACTAAGGATTATATCCAAAATTTGATAAAACAAAATAAGTTTTTTTACATTAAATATCAAAAAACCAATATAAATTTTACTATACTTATATTATGAAATAAAACCCGGAACATATTTTTATGTTTAACTCAAAACCACATACTTTCATTTTTAAAATAAAATAGCAACATACTATTATTTCTATAAATGTATTTTTTATAATAACAAATCATATTTTTTTATAAAAATAAATATATTTATATAAGATAAATGAAAATAAATCTTAAAAATTAAATCATGTAAACATTAAAAAGTAATAAAATGATGTTTTTAACCTTCAAATGTTTTTAGATACAAAAATTGAAAACAAAAATATTTAATTATGTATCGTAGTTTGAATATTTTAAATAAAGTCTAGACAACAAAAAATATTTATATATTTAAAAATTATATAACAACAAAGTTGTGAAAAAGATGGGTGAAAATATAAAAAGAAAAAAATTGAGAGACTAAGATTATAATATTTCAAATGGTTATTATGTAAAATTTCACAAATAGTTTTTAGGCAAATTTCACAAAATGACAGAAATATTCTTTATCCAAAATTTTTTCAATTTAATGGATCAATCTAACGGACATCCACGGTAAAGACCATTTATGTGCAATATTTGCTCGTTATGTACCATCTCAGTAAAAAAAGTTCCATGAGAACCATTTCAGGTAAAAATTATAAAGATAAAGGACCATTGTGTAGTTTTCTCTAAAAGCATATAAACCTCTTTAATTTGGTTACAAAGCTTATGAAACTCATCGTTTATGTCTTTAAAGTTTTATACAATTGTCTCTTATTAATATTTTCATCTGGTTCCTTTCAAAATAGAAACATGATCATTCAAAAATTCACTAAAATGAAACTTATATATTGTTTTTTTAAAGGGTTTTTGGCACTGTAACACAATAAAGTTTAACGACTTTACATATTTAGTCACTCAAATATTTATGTGCATAATAGACCATTAAAGTTGAATTTTACCTATCTGTTGCATCATTATATGACTTGATACAAGAGTCGGTTACTTGAATGGCTAAATGTGTAAATTCGTCGAACTATATTGTGCTACGGTGCCAAAAAACCTATATGAGTTTTACAAGCCACGTCAGTATGTCACCCGTAAGCCGAATACAATTTCCCCCAAATCCTTATTTAGTCGGTATTTCCTAACATTAAGGACCAATTGAGCACAAAATAAAAAAAAAAAAACTTTAGTAACTAAATGTGTAAATCCGTCAAACTTTGTTGTGTTACGGTGCCAAAAACCTTTTTTAGAACATCAAAACTTTTTATAATAGAAAAATAGCAAAAACCCTTTTTAGAAAATCAAAACTTTTTATAAAAAAAATAATGGCAGCGGGGAGCTGCAATTTTCCATGCGTACAAAATCAAGATCAATATTCATCCCCCAACCAAACATCAATACAAACATTTCATCAAAGTGTTGGTTTAATCCATCATTATTACACTTAACATAATCGATTTCAAACAAAGCTTTTGAAATAAAGATTTTTCACTCCATACCATATCCTTTCTCCTGAAGTTCTTGAACAACTTCATTCTTCATCCTCAACCATAACCTAAGTGCTTCCTGATCAAACTTCTCTTTCTGCAACTGCTTCTGATAATTCCCAGGACCCGACTCCATATCTATTGTCCCTTTAGCACTCACCATTGTCCCAATCATCCCACCTTTTGCAATGAAGTCAGTCATGGCTTCTTCATCACCTGGGTAAGGGTAATTGATTCTCTGATACAGGTGAGCTAATTCTTTCTCTTCTTTAGGTACTGGTTTCAGTGTCCACCAACCAAGTGGAGATGTTTCATTGAATAGCCACATGGCACCAAATAGTGTGTATGTGCATACAAGTGCTTTGCCTATTTGCTTCCAGAAGTAGTAGTCATCTTTTCCCAATCCTATTTTCTTTAGGTACTTCTCAGCAGTGAATGATTTAGCCACTGGAAAAGATGGGAGAAAATGATAGGTTAGAAGTTTTATTCTGAATGAACTTGAGCTTTATCTGGGAAAGATTATTTCTCGACAAAAACTAGTCTTTTTTAAGAGATGAGTGTTTAAAGATCGATCTTTGTCAGATCAGATGAACATAAATTCACAAGTACACCATTGGGAATCATGGAATCCGCTCAAAGAGCATAAGATGGAAACATTTTGGCTCTGACATTTTATCAAACAGTTGGAGGACACCATTTTAAGATATTCGAAACAGACCAAAGTCAGTCGCTCCAAGGTTCAGAGTTTCATTTCAAATGAATCTTTGATAAAAATGAAGCTCAAAATCACGAACAACCTCAATAAGAAAGCACGCAGAAAATCTCAATTCAACCTTCGGGGACGGTTAATTTGAAAATAGAATTGTGGCAGGGTTCAACAAATTACCTGTTTCAGCAGCTCTATAACTTTTGCGAACCATCGAGAAGACAAAGATGCGAGATTGCAACCTGTTTGAGTAATTACTTCATGAAAAATCTCAGCATAAGAATCCCCCTAAAACCCTTTTATCGATCTTGCAGAGAACAATATGTCAATACATAAGAAAATCGTTCTTTTTAGCAATTTGTCATTTTTGCTCCTTCATGATCTATGTTATTCCAGAATACCCCCTTTTCTTCAAGTTTAGTAGTTTACAACAACAAAAATAAATAAATAAATAAATAAATAAATCAACGAAATAATAATGATTTGTGATTATAGAAATAAAACAAAAATGCAAAAATGGTCCTCATGGTATGTATTGTTTGTTGTTTTTATTCAAACCTGATTTTTTTGGATTGACGGTAATTTTTAGCTATTTTGTTTGTGGTTTTGGTTCCTCGTAAAATTAAAAAAATAAAAATACCCTTTTGATACATTTTCTATTTTGTTTTTCTATTTAATATAAAGTTTTATTAATAAAAATTATGGGATCTCTCTCTTCTTCTTCTTCTTCAAAAATTCATAAAACCTCCCTTACCCTCCTCCTATTTTCTCCATCTTTAACCACCATTACTCCACCTTTAACCACCATTACTCCACCATAGCATCACCACTGCCACCACCTTCTTCCCCACCGAAAAGCACCATCCCCACCCCAGTGTTTCTATCGGAGCTCTTTCCTCCACAACTTGCAACCTCTTCTTGCACTACCAAGAAACACCACCACCAAGGTTGGTGTTGCTACTGCGTAACCATCGAGAACCATCGTGGTTCTCCCTTTTATGCCACTGACTCGAGAAGGCTGCCAGACACCACCAATCACCACCTCCCCTTGTCACTCTACCCCGTTTCTCACTTCACCGGGGAAGAGGACCACCAGAGCCAACGGTGGCACCCCATTGTTTCTTCCGGAGCTCTTTCCTCCACCACCTGCAGCCTTTTTCCTGCACTAAAGAGAAACACCACCACCAAGGTTGGTGTTGTTGCTGTGTAACCACTAAGAACCACCGTGGTTCTCCCTTTTATGCCAATGACCAGAGAAAGCTGCTAGGCACCACCCATCACCACCTTCCCTCGTCACTCTACCCCGTTTCTCACTTCAACGGGGAAGAGGACCACCATAGCCGACAGCGGCACTCCCTCTACCTCCATCCTGTCGTAACCCATTACCACCAAACACATAGTCATTGATGCTTCATCCTGGTCCCTCGTCGAGCATCCGCTAATAGAAATGAAGCAGCAAGGCCGCCCACGACTGCCAACCGCAGCCACCCATTGCTGTCGTTGCCCTTCCACGGTCGCTGCAGTCAGCCATCGCCACCTATTACCGCTGCTAATTCATCGCCACCCCTTTCTTGTATTGTCCATCGTCGGTATGCCCAATCGAGACCAAGAGACCTACAGTGGGTCTCGATTTTTTTTGAATCCCATACCCACGCCCCACCATTCTTCTGAGTTTCAATTTGGGGTTAAGAATGTGATTTAAAGAAATGGAAAGATGGATGGTGGTAACGGTGTTTCTTGGTGGCCGGAAAACAGCTCCACCTCCGGTGGGGTGTTCTTGATTGTAAATGACGCAGAAGGTGGGAGAGAGAGAGAGAGAGAGAGAGAGAGAGAGAGAGAGAGAGAGAGAGAGAGAGAGAGAGAGAGAGAGAGAGAGAGAGAGAGAGAGAGAATCTTTATTTAATATATAAAAATACTTATAAAAAAAGAAAATGGAAAATAAATCTAATAAGGGTAATTTAATCATTTCAAGTTTAGGAGGGATGAAATCTATGTACCAACATGGCCAAAAAGACCACAAAGCCAAAAAAATCGGGATTTAGACTAAAATCCCAAAAAAAATACATACCACAATGACATTTTTACAATTTTATCTAGAAATAATAGATTTCATTTGATTACTTACAAAAATTAAATAAGTAAATGCAAAAAGTTATTTGGAAAAGCAATTGTTTTTTAAATATATGTTAGATGTGTGAGGTTTAGAGCTACTAAACTCAAAGGAGTAAAATGAGAGTTTTTAGGTAGTAAGTAACTTATCAATATGTATTTCTAGAAGATATCATTTAAATTATAAAGTCATTTAAAAAGGCTCATAAAATTAAATATTAAGAAATAAACATCGTAATTTTTCCTCATATAATCTTTCATATATTTGTATAAACAATTAAGGCCTTATATATCTTCTCTTCTAATAAAAAAAACTTTTAACCTTATCACTTATCATTTTTAGAACCTATTTTTTTCGGTATCAATTTCCTATACTCTTTTCTCTTATTTTCTTGTTCAAACCAAAACCTCATTTCAATTTTCAATTTACTAACTAGATTACACAAAATTAGGAACTTTCTTAGTTTATAAATCATCAACCGGATATTGCAAAATTGACAACACCTATCTTCTCTTCTTCTATTAAGATTTACCCATCGCCCTAAGACCTCACATAGCACCATGGTTGCCGCCACTATAGAAGCCTCATGCATGGTTTTCTTCTCAATTGCTTCTCACCGCACCTTTAGCTAAACCTCTTGCCCTAAAATCTCCACTAATATTTTGTGTTTCTATTAATTAAAATATGTGTTGTTGAAATTTTGATGAAATATTTTCCACCCTTTGAACATCTAACTACTTTTATCTAAAAAAATCATCGAAATAATTTCTAATCCACCGATTTTTGAGAACTCCATGGGTAAATATGATTGAAATCTTGGTTCATCACAACAGGTATGTCCGATTCACACACTACCTAACAGGAGCACAACACTAATGTCACCTTTTACCAAAATGTATATTACCACATGTTTCGAAATGTCAATTTGCACGTTTCCCCTGTTTTGGACGACTTGCCATTTATGTTGACGTTATAGTATTTTTTGGGTGAGAAAAAAAAACTAATCATCTCATATGCTGCTTGACCTCCTGGTGTTTATTGCTTGCTCTATTTGTTGCTTGTTGTTTCTTTTTTCCTAGTTGCTTGCTATTTTGTAATCTGTCTAGCGTGAAGCTGGCTTGTTTTATTAATTTCAATAATATCTTGCAGTTTAAAAAAAAAACATTTTTTGAGCTTTTTGAAATATGGATGATTTTACCCTTTATGTTTATGTTATATGTATGTGTGTGTTGAATTGTGTTTGTGTAAGTGTATGTTTGGTACGTTGTGTGTGTGTGGTTAATTGTTAATGTAAATTTGGCGGTAGCTTTATTGTCTTTGTAAGAACATTATATTTGACTTTCTAAGAACATCGAATATAATGGTAGTTTTACCCTTTTAGTTCCTACTTTTTATATATGACTTTTGCTCAATCCTAACTTTTTTTTTGCTATCATTAGATTAAGAGTTTAATGTCTTATGTCGATGATTAATGCCTTAATCGATCTGGTTCTATGTTTTAATCATTCCAGGTCACATATGATGCCACATGCCTGATGTCAATTTTATTTTAGATTTTTGTATTAATCGAAGTATCAATCTAATGGTTAATTTTTTAATCGAGATTTAACAAGAAATATTAAAAGATCTGGTCTTCTGATGCTAATGTGAAAATGTTTGAAGTCTTTTTTCTTGTTATTTTATTGTCTTATGTGATGTCAGGTCTAATGATTTTTTTCAAGGTTCTGAACCTTACATTATAAACCATCAGTGATAAGAAAATATTTTTATTATTGTTGGTATATGAAGCTTTTGAAGGGAAGGAAACAGAACCATCTATTGCAGGTATGCGTTTTGACCATTTTGATAGTTAACTCTAACTTCAAGTTGTTAATGTTGGCATGTGAAGCTTTTCAAGGGAAGGACACAAAACTATCTATTGCAGGTATGTGTTTTGACCTTTTTGCCCCTTTTAGGTTTATCTTCACTTTTTTTTTTTTTTTCTGGTAACAATTGCAACTTTGAGGACACTTTAGTTTGATATCACAAAAACTATATACACTATACATATGATGCTTAGGTGGTGTTTTATTTTGGCTTAACGGCTTAATTTTAACATACAAGCGATGCCCGATCATTGAACACTCATGTGGGTTTATATTAATGTTTCATTTTTTAAATAAATTTGTCACTTATAAGGTTGTAATAGTTGGTTGCTGTTAATGATACTTTTGTGGACAACTCACAACTTATATAAATGGTGACAATTATGCATATGATATCATCGAAAAGGCAAGAGCAAGTGCCCTGATATTGTATCTCTTCAAGGGTGAAATTATCAAATGTCTTTTTCCATCATTGAAGATAGAGTTTCTTCGGTAAAAAGTCCTTCACAATCTCTAGCTCTGGATGTGGAAATCTCGTGAAGTATGACAAAGCATGTAGTAGGCACGAACAAAATCTCTAACAAACACCTGCATGAGACATGCACAATTCAAAGTTGAAACTTGAAAGATGGAACAAGTGGAATTGTATTATATTATTTATATTTGTTTTTATGGCTATTGTGAGAAATAATCTACGTTTGTTTATTTATTTGTGAGGAGTAGCATCTTTGAATAATTATCTGTATTTTTTTTTATGTCTAACTGATTTCTAAATAAACATTTTCTTGTAAATTATACATTTTTATTAAAGAAACTTATTATGCCCTTTTTAGTGGATATCTTTCATTTAGTAGTTTCTAACAGCACAATGTCATTATGAATAAATGTGAAAACCTCATAAATTACTTATGCAATTTTTAGTGAATATCTTTGTTGCGTAGAACTAGTTTTGAATTCAAAAAATATTTAAATGCAAAAAAAAACTACTTGTGTTAAATAGTTAATTATATCATTTTAAATTAGCGACTACACCGCTACAGACAAAACACTTAATTTTGTATAGAAACAATTGTTTGCAAATCTATGATTAATGTTTATGCTTTTTAAAGTTTTAATGTCGTTGTATTTTGTCAACCGTGTAACACACGAGTTACAACCTAATTATCATCCACTTAACACTTGAAAATTGCAATATGTACCCATTTGACTATTTGAGTCATATTATTTGACGCAATGATTCCATTTTATCCTTAAAACTTAGCAAAATTCCTATGGCTAGATGAAGTCGTTTACTCACCATGAATCGATAAACTATGAGACATTAACCTATAATTCCTCGTACAATTTACTCCATCTAACTTTAATTTTACTTCTCTATTAATTCATTCCTAAAACAAATCGACTTTATCAATTAGAAATCATAAAATTAGACACTAAGTTAATAATAACTAAAATCAATAATCCTATAATGAGAGAAACATTCCAAAATCAGTAACAATAACTATCTACATACCTTAGTCCTTACTCCTTACACAATCATTCAAGTGAGAATCCAAAATCGTTCTACATCACCAAAATCAGTAATCCGCCGTGTTGCACAACATTTGGGTTGGGTTGGGCCTGTTATTGGGGAGAAAATATTGGATTAGTTTTGATAATTAATTTGGTTGATATTTTGATGAATAATTTAAATTAATTTTCCATAATACATATTTCAATCATATGTCCATCTAGCATCAAATTTATTCTAGAATCACCCACAAAAGATACTTTCAAATTTAGACACTAAAAAAAATTATATTGGATTTTTCTAATTCTTATGAGTTCCAAATATGTCCTCTTTTACAAGTATTTATACTCATTATTTCATGAATTGGATATAACAAATAAAGATATAATTTTTTAAAAGTTAGAAGCGGTCATAGACAATTGTGTGGTTTCTCAAATTTCAAGCAAACAATTCATAAATTTTTTTATTAAGTGTTGGAAAAAATGATGCTTTCGCACAAGATGTTATAGTAACAACTTCTTTTAATCAGAATCCAAACATTTCAGGACATAATAGGAGGCTACGATGGGTTTTCAAAGGGGCGGTTGATGCACTTGATGACACTTTGTTACATGTTGTTGTCTCTGCTAAGAAACAAGACTTATATAGAAGTAGGGGAAACAGAGATTGCTACCAAAACGTATTGGCAATTTATGACCTCAATATGATTTTTACATTTGTTGTGGCCGGGTGGAAAGGGGTAATGCATGACTCTAGAATATTATCAGAAGCAATAGCCGATCCACAAGCATCATTCCCGTTTCCACCACCAGGTAAGTTTTTTTAAAATATTTTTATCGTAGTTTGAAAATTGATTAGTGTTTTGCATTTTTTTACAAACAAATGTTATCTTTGTGATGTTGTGTATGCACACACTCAAGGATTTATGGCACCTTATCGTAATGTGAGGTATTGGCTTGGAGATTTTCATCAAAGACGTGCATTGACCAATAAAGAAAAATTTAATCATGGACATGCAAAACTTCGGAATGTCATTAAGCGTGCTTTTGGTGTTTTGAAAGCATGCTTCCCTATATTGAAGAGGATGACACCATTCCCGTTTGTGAAACAAAGAAACATTGCCATGACATGTTTCACGCTTCATAATTTTATAAGGAGAGCATGACTTAGTGATGAGA